TTTCCTTTGTCTGCGCACGGTAGTTTTACGAGTAATGGGCGTATTTTGCTGGTTGATTGTTCGCATGACCAACAGGGCCCGTGTGGTGTTTGAATGTGGGGCTATGGTGTGGGTAGGCATGAGCAACCTGACATAGCCAGAAATCCTAACAGTGTTACGAGGCGGCCTCGGGTGTACGATCGTGCCAATGTTGCGTAGTGGGAATCTTGCGATCACAGTGAGAATGTCCTAGCACAGTTCGTGCCGCAGGCGACTTCACCAAGATGGATGTTGGCTCATCATGACTAATTATTGCACGACATTCCGGTGACTGATGTCGCGTGTATGCACATGTGATCTGTACAGGCGAGCAGGTGATGATAATGTTGTTGATAGTTCGCTCCACATGATTCACGGGTGCACTCGTCGCCGGGCTGTTTTCAGCTCGGTAGAGGGCTAAAACGGTAGGTGTGCCGTAGAGTGCGCGGCGATTGCACTGTTGTACTGCAATAATCACTGCACGTAGATACGGTCCGGGTGGACCCTAAAGAAGCCAGACAAGTTCAGGATTGACGATGTCGGAGGAGAGTCCTTTTGACGGGCGTACGTTGTCCCTTGTCACGAATAGTCTGCCTCACCGTACTTATATCTACTTCACCCCGGTACAGGGAGATCGAATCTAGGAGAAGAGCGTTCGGACGCTGTCCACGCCACCGTGTCATTAGTATTGGCAATAGAAGCGAGCAGGCGAGTTCCAGGAAGCAATTCAGAAGAAAGTGAAATCACTGCAGCAAGAAGTTTATCGGTCTGACGCTTCGGATTCGACTGTCTCGGACGATGAGTCCGAGTGAGAATCCGAACCGTCAGGTCAATAAACTTGTCCCAATGACATATCCCCTTCTGCCCTACGTACCTGGTCCTTCTGCCCTGCCTTTGGTCCACCTTCCAGGTGGACGCTTTAGAGAGTGGTGTGCTCTTAGGAGGATGCAGTAATGGTCCCAGACTGGATGCTAGAGCCAGCGTTAAGCCTTGGTCGCAGTCTAGATGTTCCCTGAGTTGGCGCTTTCCAGTTGCGAGGCAGTTTTCATTGAGACTTGCCACGGTTTCGGTGTATTCCACGTATCGTTGAGTTCAGTACACGATCACTGTATTATTTGTGCCGGCTATCGATCGAGGGCCGTTGCTTTCGGAACCAGTGGCTCGCACTCCGCCATACATCGTCCTCGGTCTTGCTTTCCGGTGGTTAGAGACGCATCGGCTACGCCAAAACCTTGAGGAGCTTCAGTGACTTAAGACGTGTTGCGATTGCCTGTATGACAGCAAGGAAAGTCTGCAAAACTCGTACGGTCTTGCGACACGCCCTTACAGACAGTGTATCAGACATCTGAAGTGCAAAATATCCCTACTTAGCATTCCGAAGCGCAAGATAGTGATGCGATCTGGTTGGCAACGGAAACATAGACGTGGTCTACAGAGGAGTCGTCTGTATCCACTACGACCAATTAGTAGAACGTACGTAGGTGAGACTTTAATATTGACCATCGTGCAGCAAAATCCAAACATACAGTGCGTGACCTATCTCATGAAATGTTGGCTGAAATTCTGAAATGCGTTTTCGATTAGGAAGGATTACTTGGTCGCGGTTGTGATACTGATTATCTTAAGGCATACTGTTATAACATTTTGGACTCGGCAGGATGTCGGCTTTTAAATGCACTTCTTTTTAATTTCCTGTAGAAAGCGTGCTCAGTAAAAAATGACTGCTTAAGTAGCATGCATTTTTCTCATTGATTTTCGATGGTCATGGAAATTTAAATATATCTTATAGAAATTATAAAAAAAAATATGCTATCTTTTAGTCAATCAATAGAGAATCACGTCTTTTTTATATTTTATACTTAAGGAAGGTGTAAAATTAGGTTTTAAAAAAGTTTCCAATTATAAGCTTTTTTAGACCGCAATATGTCCTTTCATATAGCATCGTACCTGGCCGTTTACCACTGCTCCTCATGAAATGTACAACATGGTCCGCATCCATTGCAAAATTTTGTGGACCCTCTATGATATCTCTTTAATGACACAGAAAAATATGGGATTTTCTTTACGCGGAACGCATGCACCTTGCAGAGTGTAATCACTAAGCGCTAATGCAACGAATGATCAGGCTCCAAATTTTTCGGCAATTAGAAAACTTTTTTAAGACCTAATTATACTCCTCCCTTAAGTATAAAATATAAAGAAGACGTGATTCTTTATTGATTGACTAAAAGAAAGCATATTTTTGTTTGTGGTTTCTATAAAATATATTTGAATTTCCAAGACCATCGAAAATCAATGGGAAAAAGGCATGCTACTTATGTAGTCATTTTTTAACAAGCACGATGTGTACAGGAGATTGAAAAGAAGTGCATTTTAAAGCCGACATCCTGCCGAGTCCAAAATGTTATAACAGTATGCCTTAAGATAATCAGTATCACAACCGCGACCAAGTAATCCTTCCTAATCGAAAACGCATTTCAGAATTTCAGCCAACATTTCATGAGATAGGTCACGCACTGTACCTCAGTCATGCAAGGGTGCTGACTAGTGAATGAGCCTCTTTACTACCGCCTGCATAAACCACAGTTGGTAAAAATGACCGTTAAGCAGTATAATTTGGCCTCAATTTACCGACACCATTTTTAAATTTAAGCATCTTTTAGATAAAACATACGCACAAATATTCGTTTGCTAACAAACTACACCTTGAAGAAACGGTGTTCTTCAGTTAAAAGTGCATACCATGGAACGTCCATTCAAATAACATAGCGTCTGTCCGTTTTATAATGCCGCTTATTAGTCATATAACATTTACTGCAAAGTTTTGTGCGCCCGACGAATCTTGCTAGCGTAGAGAAACCGGTGATTTTCCTTACACAGGAGGCATACAGCATTTCATTCTCAAATTCTAAGTGCAAGTGCAACGACAGGTCGGTCCGAAATTATTCAGAAATCTACTGTTCTAAAACCGAAATGCACTCGCCAAGTATGAGATTTAAAAACAGGCGTAGCTGGTTGCCCGGACAGTTCAACTGTCATTACTACTGACGTTCACTGTGAAGTCCACAGTTCGGTGGACACAGAGTCAGTGGCTTGCGAGCGGATTAGTTCATAGTAATGGCAGACTTGCACTGCATCTGCAGCACTCCGTCCCCCCTCACCTACCTGTAACCCGTGTCAAAACACAACAAGAGATGACCGAAGGCGTGATCGGGCGTATTGGCTGAGGGGACAAAAAAGTCCAGAAGAAGAAGATGCGATCACTGGAACAAGAAGTTCATTGGCCTGACGTCTCGGTTTCGCACTCGAACCCATAATCAGGGGCAGTCACATACAAGGGTAATGGAGACACAAAGGCTGCAGTACTCCTAGTACGTGGCTGCTGTGGGATCACATGCGTACTATAATTAACAGCTCTCGCGGTCACCGCCGAGGGTCTTAATGGATGCAATGATGGCTTGTCAGTCCAGTGATTAACGACTCGGACGCCGATGAACTTTTTACTCCAGTGATCGCATCTTCTTCAGAACTGCTTCCTGAAACTCGCCTGTTCGCCTCTATCGCTAAATACTTCCATTACACGCGTCACACATGCCTTGCCTACGCACGAAGAACCACGATTGCACATGGACCCGGGTTCGTGACGGAGCCATGAGACGGGAGAGAACGCAGGTGGCTGGCATAGCAAAAACGTGCGCGTAGGCCTACCACCTCACTCCCATGGTCCACAGCATAAGACTAGCCAGGAATTTACACAATAATTAAAACGGAGGGGGCAGCCTGGATCCCATGCAGCGCGGTTGGACCTGCACCCGGGCGTACCACCATACCTCAGTGCTGGCACTTTTTTGACTGCCCACTCCAAATAAAGCCTGCCGGACCCTGTGCTGGCCTAGTGCATTTGCCGCGTGACCCATTTTAGGGGCATGCCTGAAATACACACGAACCGACTAGACAACACACACGCACACATTCGCAACCCTCTCAAACTGCACCATCATCACTCCCGCCGCATGTATGGCACCCGATCGGACAGCGCATGTGTGGTGGGCTTAACGTCGCCTGCCAGAACATGCTCATTTAGACTTAGTGGTAGGCATGTCATTCGTTTTAATCCGGTCAATGCAGTGTGGGCCAGGTCCTGATTGTGGCCGGTAGATGGTTGGTTCATTCTTAAAAGCCACTGTCTCCCGCTAATTGCTAGTTGTTTGATCTGCTCGGACAAGTGACTCGTGCTTGCGAGAAGGAGAAAAAAGAGAGAGATAAAGAGAGGGGAATTAAGGACGACACAGGCGAATCCACCCACGCATCAAATTAGCACATTCCTCACTGAAATAAATCCCACGCGCTAAAAGTCATGGTCTCGAAGGTTGCCAGCTGACGGGATATAGCTCGGTCCTTCCCAGGACTAATTTTCCGGCTGCAATGGCCACCATGGCACTCCCACATGCGGGCTGTACTTATTTTGGCCCGGCACATATGGCGCGAGGACCAGATTGTGTGTTTTTTTTGTGGCGGGCAGCGCGGTTGATGCTATGCAAGTCTGATTTGCAATAAACTCACTAACGTTATTTAATCCCCTTCGCGGACCAGCGGTGAACATCCTCACTTCCGACGGTTGAACCGTCTAGTCAAGTCGAGCGGTTTTAAGCCTTCAACGACGTGGCTCGCCACTGGCAGTCGCAAGGCGGATACTGCACGCTAGACGAAGTATCTCTGAGTAAGTGCTAAGGTAGGTGAGGTAGGCTCCACGAATACATTGACAGTAGGGGGCATTTAAGGAGAGAACCGTCACAGCACGGCCGCCCAGGAAGATGTCGGTACGAAAGGACGCCGGCTGCCTAGTCCAGGTTTATTAAAATGAGCAATAAAGCGGCCGGCAAAATGTGCAGGGCAATGCTGACTTGAGGTGGTGTAAAGACTGCCGGATGAAGATGCATCACTTGAAGAGAATTCAGCTCATGGAGCTCTGGAGGAGGCTTTCAAGCATGATAGTAGCCAGGTACAGGAGAGGCGGAAGAAACAAGGAGGACGGAGCACATCTGGAGGTATCGTGGACGGCAGCCGGAGAGCCTTTGACCCTGACGACATGCCTGCCACTGTGTTAGACGAAGAACATCTAGGACCATTGCCAGGTCACCTGGAAGGTGTCACTGTGGCGGAGGTCAGAGTCTTCCTTGCGCTCGATCAGAATAGAGGAGGAGATGACTTCAGGTCTTCAAGGTTTTTTGAAACGGGACGCAAAGACAGACAGCTGGGGAGGAACAGTTAAGGGAGGGGGGTGTGCGCAGGAAGTCAGTGAGATTTTCGTCGGCATCGCACACTGAAAGCCTAAAGGTGGTATCGAAAGCCAGTTAAATTCGTGGAAAACATGTCTTATTTGACAGCTGGGCGAATGTTGGGCAGGAGTAGGCTAAGGTGATTGGTCTGGTTCCCGGCGCGTAGGGTGGCCTTTGGATGGTAGTGAAACAGCGCTCGGGGATCCGGTAGGCTACATGACAGTAGTAGGTAATAGTCCAACGCAGAAAACTGAGGAGAAGCTGGAAGATTTGGTTCTACTGGCGTCCCGATCTCAATGCCCGCGTGCCGCGTTTCTGTCACGCCTCGGGTCCGTCAACGATTCCAAACCTGTGGTTGAATGAGCAGAGGGGAATGAGTGCACCTCACTGCCCACTGCCAGCTTGATGAAAATCGATACTGTTGTTGCTTCAGAAACTAACTGCCAACTCGGAGTAGATCGGCTGGAAATAAGGATTATAGGCGCAGACCGAAATTTAATGTATGAATACTTGGGCCGATGTTCATTAGTCACACCGGGATAACCGCGTAATATTCATTAACTGCCGACAGGCAGCTAGTAGTATAGTGTGGGTTGCAGGGAACGGGGAATGTTGGGGTAGAGCATCCACTGATGAGCCGAATCCCTCGCAGATGCACCACGCAACGACAGAATATCGTCAAAACACGTGTCTGGGATTTTAGTTAGTACTTGTGCTGTTAGTATGTCGCCCTGCAACCCAATGGAAAGTGATAATTTGGTCTTTGGGGAGTAAAGAAACCTCCATGAAGTTTGTGTTTTTGAAATAATTCTACGTGGTAATTCTGATTGTTAAATTGCCCGTAAAATGTACCGTTAAAAGGTATTTAGTTTCATTAACATTTTAATAAATGCAAACGAGAACTACAGTTATATAGGAACGGGGTAGAAGTAAAACATGCAAGCGATAAGAGAAGTCGATAAAAGTACTCCTTAAACAAAGGCGGGGTGGGGGACTGTGGGGGAGGGGGTGGGGGTAATAATAGTCATTGTCAGGGGCGGGGTGAGAGCGCAAGTGCGCGGGGGGAGTTGCACCGTTAGTCAGCCGTCGACCACTGTAGGCGCGGAGCCTGAACGTGGTTCTTTGCGCATAAGATTGGCTTTCATAACCTAATGGCGGCCGCTTCCGCTGTCGCTAACAGGCGCTGGCCTAGTAGCTTAGGGTAGCTCGATGGGACCTTATAAATCACACGAAAAGCTTCGTTGGGGTCCACACGATGTCCGGAATCGACAACATGCGCGAGAATGGCGCTGCTTATACTCCTCGTTTCGCCTTTTCCTAGCCATGCCGGGAGGTGTTCGCGTATTCTTTTGGATAAGCGCCGACTCGTGCGACCAATATAACCTGCTCCACAGGAGCAAGTGAAGGAATATATGCACATTGAGGTGGTCTGCGGTGGCAACTTATCCTTACCTTCTCCGCGTAAAATAGGGTTAGTAGAGAATGATATTTGAACCCTTGCTGCTGGGAAGGTTCGCGAGATAGCTTGATCAAGGCGTCTCCTTAGGAGTTCACTCGTCGCGTCCCCTTGGAAAGGGACTTTGAGGAACAAAGTTTTCTTTTCAGCGGTCGGTGTGGCGGGTTTAACCGGTCTTTCGACAATGTTCTTTGCAATGAACCTGTCAGGATACCCGTTTTCTCGAAGGAAGTCCTGGATTTTTCTGAGCTCCTCCTCGATGCTATCTGTTGAGCAAATTTTTCTTGCTCTTTGTGCCAGACATCGGACTAGATTTCGTTTTTGTTGGAGGGGTACGAAACTGGCAAAGTTCGTGTATTGTCCAGACCAGGTTTTCTTCCGATAGACGCTTCTTCGGACACTGCCGTCAGGTCTCCTGCTTAGAAGAACATCTAAGAAAGGGAGCGAACCGGCCGTTTCGATCTCCAGCGTGAATTTGATCGACGGATGTGCCTGATTTGCCGCATCTAAGAGGGTAGCTACGTCGGTTTCTGCAGTGGCAACTGCAAATATATCATCAACGCAGCGACCGTAATGTTTAAGCTTATCGATCTGATCACTTAGTTGGAATCGCTCTAATTTGCCCATGAAGACATCTGCTAGGAGAGGTCCAAGGGGTGGGCCCATAGCAACGCCGTCTACTTGTCTATAGAGTTGGTTGTCGAACAGGAACTGCACATTTAATGTGCATTTTAGTAACAGTTCCGTGAGTGCCTTCGTCGGGAATCCTATTTCCTGCTGACTGGCGGATAGAAAATCACAGATGTAATCAACTGTCTCGGTGACCGGAACGTTTGTAAAAAGTGATGAGACGTCTAGCGAGAACATCACCATGCCATTGACGGTAAGGTCTTTGATGTCGTCAATGAATTCAAAGGTATCTCGGTAGCTGCGTGGTGCTAGCTGACGCTGTACGGGCTTGAGTTTCTCTGCTTGCCACTTTGCAATCGCATTATACGGAGAGTTTCGCATGTCTAAAATCGGACGGACTGGCAGGCCTTCCTTATGGATCTTAGGTAGACCATATAGTCGAGAGATATGTGTGCCGACTGGTCGGAGGTGTTCTAGGTCACGGTCGGTGATGTGAACCCCTGTGTGGAGCCTTCTTAGACAGTCAGTCAGTTTCCTCTCTACTTCTTCCGTGCAATCCTTTTCTTTGTCTACCTTCCTGAATTTCTTCTGGTCTGATAATATGGACTGTAGCTTCACTACGTAGTCCGATCTGTTCATTATAACGACGCCTGTTCCTTTGTCCGGTCTAGTTACCAAGATATCTTTGTTCTCTCGAAGTTCTTTTAACTTTTCCACATGTGCTTTTGTCAGCAATCCCCGACTTTTTGGCCCCTTGTTCAGGTACTGATAACTGCAATTCACCAATGTTGATTTAAAGTGTTGGATACTGTCTGTGGAAGTGGGCACTAGATCATAGGTTTGGTTCCATAGGTTCTCGAACTGAGTTTCCAATTCTAACTGATTAACTTTTCGACGAGGTATGCAAAACTTAGGACCAAGGGATAATGCTTCAAGTGATGTTTTATCAAGTGTCAAACAAGAGTGGTTGTGTACGTACCGACTTGGATCTTTCGGAAACCGTGATTGTGGTTTCATTTCATGTACACTTCTAAGGAGCGCAGAACTTTTTGCCTCTCCGCGTTTCCTTCTTATGGATTGAGTGTAACTGTCGAACTCTTGTCTTTCGTCGTCTGTCAGGGTGTCTAGGACGGCTGTGCGTTGACCCACGTGACGCTTCAGTTCTTCTATCTTTACGAGGGTACTTTCCAGTTGATTCTCAGCGTATCTTTTCAGAGTTTCTGTGGTAAGAACTGTACGGCTACGTCGCAGCGCTCTCCAGTAGTGGTTTGGATATTCGTTTCTCGCAATGCATTCCCCGATAAACTTGGCCATTACTTTCGCCTCCACAAGCTTGGTGCTGAAACGTAGGCACCCATTGAGTGCCCTCAACACCGTGGGATCTTTGGACTGTTTTAGAGTTGCGAAAATTCCCATAGCAGTAATCAGAAGACGAGGTGGCGAGCATACGTAGCTTTCGATAAATTCTCGTCGGGCCAGTACAGTTATATAGGAACGGGGTAGAAGTAAAACATGCAAGCGATAAGAGAAGTCGATAAAAGTACTCCTTAAACAAAGGCGGGGTGGGGGACTGTGGGGGAGGGGGTGGGAGTAATAATAGTCATAGTGTTAATTTCATTAACACTTTAATAAATGCAAAGGAGAACTATGCACAGGGCATTTTATCAGCTGGAAGGAATTCTACTTGGTTCGCGATGTTACATTTGCTACTCGCATAGTCCTTTGAGTGTCCAGTTTTCTCAGCGAGAAGGTATCTTGGAATTGTTATATAAAAGAATCCCAAATCTCTAAGACGCCCCTCTTGAAAAGTAGCCCACCTACTAGTCCCCATAAGTAGCAGTGTGTTGATAGTTCCTAGAACACTTTTCAGGTTTTTTTTTCAAACATGGACTTCACACAAACTGTTTTCTCGTCCGGGTTCGTCATTGCACCTTAAATGGGTTATCCACCGATCATCACCTGATTAGGGTCATCATTTGTCTGAAGTTCCCTCTAAAGCAGGCACAGTGATGGGAATATGTAACATGCTCTAATATAATATGAACATTTTGGAGAACTTAGTCAGTCTCCTCTGTTTAACGTATATAGTGCAAAAAAGTAAGCAGAATTTTAAAATGAGTGGTTGGATTAGGAAGGCATCGACTAGCAGAATCTTCCGTTTTGCGCAGCCTTGGTCTTTTGACGGACGTTTGATGGGATTGAAGGCCCCTTGCGCCATGCGTCATCACCTCGGTAGGTGATGGCTAAGCCTCTGCCAATAGAAGCGAAGAGACGAGTCCTAGGAAGAAGTCTTGAAGAAGGAGACACGATCGCTGGGACAAGAGCCTTATTAGCCTGACGTTTCGTATTCCTGCTCGAACCCGTCATCAGAGACAAAAGCAGATACGGCACAAGGGGTTGCAGTATTTATAGGATGCAGTCGTCATGCTACCGCATACCTATGAGCATTCACGGCTTCCCCTTCATCCGGGATCGTCGCACTTGGTTTGCTAATTGTTTGATGGCCGACATTTGAAACGATAATTGTTGCTATTTCATCACCTGCGTTGCATGTTGGTGTGGTGATTGCTCGACCATCTGACGCACCGACCCCGGTGTTGGGACAAGTGTTCACATGTGCGCTCCCCGCGTGGCTAATCACTCCACCTAGGCGAAGCTTCAGCACAGAGAATGGGAGGGGAAGTTCATTGCACTTGATAATAGACTGGGGGCCAGTAAACCATGATTCAAGTAGCTCCCGGCTCACGCGGCGTCACCTCTTGCGAGAATTTCGGCCTCGTCGAATTTGAATGTGAGGCTGAATCTTGTCGAATGAGCCGCAACTTGAGAGCTGGCGTCATTTCTCCGCACCGCTGCAGCGTGTTCGGCCATTCGCGTTTGGAGTTGTCTTCCGGTTTCTCCGACGTAGTTGCTTTGTCCGCAACTGCACCAGATCCGATAAACGACTCCAGACGTTTCCAGCCGTGGCAGTGGGTCTTTCAGTTTCATTACCTGACGCCTGATGGTTGCCTCCGGTCTGCGTGCAACTCCGACCCCAAGTGGTACGAGAAGGCAACTGACAGCTTCCGAAACGCTCTTGAAATGCGGAAGCATGTCTGTGCCGTCAGGCCTTTCGTCCCTTTTGCGTATGCACCGGTCGAAAAAGTTGCGCGGGTAGCCATTGGCTTTGAATACCCAACGGAGGTGTTGTGGTTCGAAAATCTTGTCTTCCGGCTCAGTGCACTGCGTTTCGACACGCCGATAGAGCGTCCTTACACAACTGCGTTTATGGCTGATTGGGTGGTTACTGTTGAAGTTCAGTACTTGCATCGTATTTGTCGCTTTCCTGAACACTTTGGTTTTTAGTTCACCACAATCTTTGCGGCATACGAGGACATCCAGGAAGGCCAGCTGGTTGTTTTCTTCCTCCTCCATCGTAAATTTTATGTCGGGGAAGACCTCATTCAGATGTTCCTTTAATGTCAGCAGTCGATTCCGGTCGATAACGACGAAGGTATTATCCACATACCGTGCCCAGAATTTTGGTCTGTGACGTTGGAGGACCAGCAAATCTAACCGTTGCAGGACCGCCTCGATGATGAATACCGAGATCGTCGAACCCATTGGCATGCCCTTCACCTGTTCGTAGATTGTCCCGTCGAACGTGAAGTACGTCCTGAGACAGAACATCAGGAGCTGAAAGACTTGGGCGTGTCCAAGACCAACAATCTATTGCTCCTTAAAGTATTACTCAGCAGGCAATTTAAAATTATAATTGCAACGGCAGCGCATATCGAGGTCGGAAGCGTAACCGAGATCCTGAGTTTTCAGAGAGCGCGCCTTCCAACATAAAAAAGAATGTACAGGCTGCATGATATACCATGTTTGACAACAGAAACCCCTCGCAGCTTTGCCAGAATATCGGCGAAACACGTGTCTGGGCTTTAAGCTAGTACCTCTGCTGTCAATTAGGGTATATCGTGCAACAATTGTATATACTACTGGCTGTTTTGAAAACAAGCATGCACAGCAGAATTTATTGGGGCCAACAAATTTCGTGACGGCTTTTCAACTGCAACCCGTCTCTGCATAACATAGGTAAACGAATGAAAGCGCACAGCAGTAGGAATTTGTACAGAATGGCAGGGCATAGGAGCAAGGTCAAAGTTCAAAATAATCAATAATCAGATAAGACGTCCACATAAGCATCAAAAAGGAAAAAGGGAAGACGAAATGTTAACAACAAATCACAGTCAGAGGAAAATAGAGGCGTGAGATTACCAGGGCAATTGCAAATTGATCACGTGATCTAACTGCTTGCGCAGGTCTGGTTTCTCCCTCCGTATGTAGGCTGCTTCCAAATAACGCAAGGTTCGAGTTGTACGTGCTCGGACAAGTACTCGAAAGGATGCTTTAGGGTCGACAACATGACCGCTATCTAACAGGTGTTTCGTTATAGACGAACGGGGGGTTCTATTTTCCTGTTTGAAAAGCCAATTGGGCAAATGTTCAGCGGCCCTGGTTGCCAATTGCCTAATTGGCTTTTCAAACAGGAAAATAGAACCCCCCGTTCGTCTATAACGAAACACCTGTTAGATAGCGGTCATGTTGTCGACCCTAAAGCATCCTTTCGAGTACTTGTCCGAGCACGTACAACTCGAACCTTGCGTTATTTGGAAGCAGCCTACATACGGAGGGAGAAACCAGACCTGCGCAAGCAGTTAGATCACGTGATCAATTTGCAATTGCCCTGGTAATCTCACGCCTCTATTTTCCTCTGACTGTGATTTGTTGTTAACATTTCGTCTCCCCATTTTCCTTTTTGATGCTTATGTGGACGTCTTACCTGATTATTGATTATTTTGAACTTTGACCTTGTTCCTATGCGCTGCCATTCTGTACTAATTCATACTGCTGTGCGCTTTCATTCGTTACCTATGTTATGCAGAGACGGGTTGCAGTTGAAAAGCCGTCACGAAATTTGTTGGCCCCAATAAATTCTGCTCTACATGCTTGTTTTCAATTCATACCGGGGAAAAAATGCTTCAAAAATACTGGCTGTTTGTTAGAGGCTTGTAGATGCTGCACGGTCATTTCACTGTGGCTGATGGACTTCGGCCAAAATATTCCCACCACGTTTCAGTCTGAACCTATAAACATCAAATAGACTGATTTACTTCAATTTAACAGTTAGCTTCTAAGGAGATTGAAAATCAACGTAATGGAGGTCCTGTGGATGTGCGGTCTACACAGGTGTGTCCCCCAAACGGTCCACGTGGTAAATGCGTCTGACTAACACAGGGGCCATATCGGATTCTAGTTGACGTTATCGGATTGCGCACCACAACAAATGCCAACATTTAGGGGGCGATTGCAGGCCCGGTTGCCGGCTGACTTCGAGCACAGTGGGACACCTGCCGCCCCCCATAGCTGTTTTTGGTCAAAATCCTGGTTATTTGCTATGTGGACCACGAGGTGTGGAGTGGAGCGCCAAGGTGCGAACTCAACCGCGCCATCCACCTGCGTCCTTTTGCGCCCCCGATCTTCTTGACTTCGTCTTGACACCGGGCCTAGGTGGTGTAGGAAGAGAAAGTGCGTTAGACGCTGAGCAAGTCTATATTCACTATAAGCTAAATTACGCACAAGTCACAGTGCCTGCTCTCATTTCCCTACGGAGCCAACGGTGTACATCGTCGGAAACGACAGTCGAACTGTCGGTATACACATGGGAATGCACACCAATGAAAGCACGTAGAAGATAACTATAGTGGAGACCAGACGTTTGTGTACTTAGTATAAAAGAAACAACTCTACGTGGGTTTTAAATTTCAAGGAACGAAGATCTCGTCAAAGACAAATGGATGCAGTAGAATACAGGACAGACACGTTGGCTTGCCGTGCATTTCGTTACCTTAAATTATTTCAGGGACCACTGAACGAGCATTCGACACCAAAGAGCAGTCGATGCTGTTTACTGACGAGAACCCGCAGTGGGCGGTATAGTAACGTCCAAAAATGTGCGAGCTAAGCCCATGCAAACTGCCTGGAGGTATCATCAGCTCTCTGTACGCTGAATGGGCCAGCCCATGTATTGTTCAGGGAGGGCAACAACTACACACCGGTGACTCCAAACTGTAGTGGCCGCTCGCAATGCGGCGAAAATTCCCACCCTGAACGTTTTTGCTATTACGATTAATAAGAAAGCCAGAAGTAAAAAAGTGCAGAAAAAGACCGAGGAGGGGAGTCCATAACTAGTCTCTGAGTGTCAACGCACCTGCCAACCCCTACACCGTCTCGCTGAAGGGCATAGAGCCGTTAAATAGGTGATGTTTTCCATCATGCATGGGAAGAGTCGGGGATACAACTGATTGAACGGTCAACTTCACCGATATATATATGTATATGTGTTGTAGATCAGAGGAGGTATGCATTCCGAGTTGACATAATGAAAAAATATAAGAGATTCTTCGGAAAAGTCGAGTTGTACTCTTGAATTTTCTAGCTGGTGACACCAACCTGTCGTCAGACGAAATGAAAACGAGGGAGAAGGTTGGGTTGTCACACTAGACCAGTTGGTGCGATAGGACAGATAGACCACTGACGTGTGAGGGGGGGGGGGCTGCCGAGGTCATGGTAGGCCCTGAATGAGGGGAGGGGGAGAGGAGGCGGAACAACTACGGCACGCTGTGCTGGAGGGGGAGGGTGGGTGGTGAATCAGTTGGAATGCGGGGGGCTGTATTCGCGGTCGTTGATGCGTGATTAGGGCAGGGGGCAGTCAGTCGTGAACGTAGACCTTCGTAATGGGCATTTAAGTCAACGTGGCGGTTGCTACTGCCCGCATTGGAGTGCCAAGCCTCGAGAAATACCCTCGTTCGTTTTGTGTTAGCCATGGCGACGACCTCGGTGCCATCCCAATTGAATCGGTGGTCGTAACCGACTGCATGTACAAAGACGAGGGACAGGGGGTCTCGCCGACGGATAGTTAATTTGTGTTCGTTAATACGGGTGCCCAGGCATCGACCTGTATGGCCAACATACACGCAAGAGCAATTAGCGCACGGGATGCGATAAATTACATTCGTTTGTTGCTTCTTGGGAATGGGATCCTTCACTCGAGATAGTGCTGCGCATAGTGAAGATGCCGGTTCGTGGGCAACGTGAATACTTAAGCGGTTGAACTGCCGGGCGATTATTTCAGACGTTCCACGCACATATGGCAAGGAGTAGAATTTTCGTGTCACAATCTCTCCGTTGGGGGTGGGGTCTTGTGACCGTGTCTGGTGCCTGAGGCAGTTCTTTAAAAAACTGATCGGATATCCGTTAGAGCGGAATAACCGATACAGGTGAGCAAGCTCTTTGTTTAGGAGGTCGTTGCTGTTGCAATAACGGTAGGCCCGCTGGAACAGATTTCGGACGCAGCTTCTTTTGTGAGCTGCAGGGCGGTTGCTTCCATAGTTGAAGATAATCTCAGAATAAGAGTCTTTCCTATGGACGCTTGTTGCTAGGCTACCATCGCTCAACTTCCGTATCCTCACGTCCAGAAAGGGCAAGCTGTCTCCATATGCCTCTTCGCGGGTAAACTGTATGGCTGGGAAGACGTCATTCAGTCTCTGGGGAAGCCGTTCGACTTCGTACTTCTTTACTATGACAAAGGTGTCATCAACGTAGCGAAGCCACAGTTTTGGCTTGGCAGTTTGGAAAACTACCTCTTCTTGTCGCTGCAACACTAGTTCTGCGAGCAGTCCTGATATTTCGTCTGACGACGGGTTGCGTCACTAGCTCGAAAAAAAATCACGAGTACAACTCGAATTTTCCGAAGAAACTGTTCTATTTTTTCTTATATATATATATATCACGTTCATCATCCCCAAAAGAAGACGAAGAAGAAAAAGGGGCGATTGCATGGACCACAGTGTATTGGTGCTGACGTTTCGGAAACTTCCTCGTTTCCATCATCAGAGTGGTGGGGTGTCTGTTCCTGCTTGCTTGAAGTTGTTCTGCCTCGCCGCCTGTCTTGTGTTATAAGCATGCCTGACGCACGAACTCTGAGCTGCCTTCTGGCTGGGGATTGGCTTTGGTTCCTCCGCGGGCGGCCAATGACGCGCTCCTGTGGCCTCTGCCCCCTGACCGGCTGTCGTAATCGCTGCCAATCCTGTGTGCCCATGGGCCCTCACCTCATAATCGGATGGACCGATCAGTTGCCGTTGCATGTGCGAATCACGCTCGGCTGTCTGGGCGCGCCGGTGGGGCGATGTCTCGCGTTCGTCGTGTGATCTCCGGCTGGCTCCTTCCCCCTGCTGTGAAGGTGATAACTGTTGGAGGAGCCGCGACTCGCTCGCCAGTACTGTCGGCCCCGTCTGGACTGACTGGAGTCTTGTACGCAGCGCCTGGTAGGCCGGATGAAGATCAATAGCCCTGTTGATTGTGCCAACTGAGGACCAGCTTTCGAGCACCAGTCTAGCCATCTTCTTCGTCTTCTTTTGGGGATGATGAACGGGATAATTTATCAGGACCTCGAATCTTTACTCATGTTGATATATATATATATATATATATATATATATATCAGGTGAATAATTTCAGAAATTAATCAGTGCAGAACTTGGAGTTAAATCTCCGGGACATGACTTTTTAGGGTCAGAACCGAAATTTCAATGAACATTTGAGTCGAAGACAATAAACTACTGTGGAATAACCACGTAATGCCCATTCTACAAACAAGTAGTACTACGAGTAGTATGAATTCCATATGGTAAAGGTATTATACCGTACTCCCGACATAGATACTTGCTAAAAGCCCAGACACGTGTTTCGCCGATATTCTGCCGCTGCGTGACACAGCTGCGAGGGGTTCGGCTCTTCAGTGGGACCCCCAGCGTTCTCTAGCGGTTTCCGGTATATGAACTCCAGAGAATAATCAGGTGAATAATTTCAGAAATTAATTAGTGCAGAACTTGGAGTTAAATCTCCGGGACATGACTTTTTAGGGTCAGAACCGAAATTTCAATAAACATTTGAGTCGAAGAATACCGGCGAAACACGTATCTGGGCTTTAAGCAAGTATCTAGGTCGGGAGTACGGTATACTACCATTACCATATGGAATTCATACTACTCGTAGTACTACTTGTTTGTAGAATGGGCAGTACGTGGTTATTCCACAGTAGTTGATTGTCTTCGACTCAAATGTTCATTGAAATTTCGGTTCTGACCCTAAAAAGTCATGTCCCGGAGATTTAACTCCAAGTTCTGCATTGATTAATTTCTGAAATTATTCACCTGATTATTCTCTGGAGTTCATATACCAGAA